CCATATGGAAAAAGTCATTTATAATTCCTTTGCATAAGAGTGGATTTAGGTCATCTATTGAAAACTATAGGGGAATAGCAAAGTTGTCTGCAATACCTAAAYKYYTTGRAGCAATTATAACAGACGACATAACCTTCCGGATCTCTCCACTAATTTCTTGTTCTCAGCTTAGTTTTCGTAAAGGGAAATCCACAATAACTGATTTGCTTGAATTTGTATCACATGTATCAACGGGCTTTAGGGAGAATAAGAATACTGATGTCATATACACAGATTTTAGTAAAGCTTTTGATTGGTTTTCAACCAATATTTCTAAAATGGGTTGCTTCTTATCTTAGTAGTAGAATTCAACAAGTCCTATTTAACCATACTCTTTCCGACATAATCAATGTTCCTTCAGGTGTTCCTCAAGGTAGCCATCTTGGTCCAATTCTGTTCTTGTTATTTATTAATAACATTTCATCTGTTGTTAAGTTTTCAAACGTTTTATTATATGCTGACGATGTAAAACTTTTTAAATCATTCACCTCAAATAGTGAAAGATGTCAGTTCCAAACAGACTCAAATAACCTAGTTTCTTGGTGTGATAGAAATGWVWTGCCATTGAATCTTAAAAAATGTAAAACGATGTGCTTTTCACGTAGATCTGTAGACCCTACTTCATACGTAATACAAAACTTACGGTTGGAGCAAGTATGCAGTTTTGTTGACTTGGGAGTAACTATGGACCCCAAACTCAATTTAAATCTTCACACATCTTCCATGGTTTTAAAGCTAAAGGTGCTCTAAGTTTTGTTAAACGTTGGTCTAAAGAATTTAGAGATCCGCTTACCACGAAAATTCTTTTTACATCTTTAGTGAGGCCTATATTAGAGTATKCTTCCGTGGTATGGAACCCTTGTTATGTAGTTCATTCTGAGAAAATAGAGTCCGTTCAAAAACAATTTTTACTTTTTGCCTTAAATCATTTGCATTGGGATTCCAGTTTAAATCTTCCCCCTTACACTAACCGTTTAAAACTTATAAATCTCCCTACACTCGCTAGTCGTAGGGAAATGCTTGGTATAATGTTTCTTGTAAAACTCATCAATGGGTCAGTCTGTAGCCCATCTCTCTTGTCTGATATTAATTTTAACATTCCCGCTCGCTCTACCAGGCAGTTTAAACCTTTGCTTTTAAAATTTTCTAGAACAAATTTCGAGTTAAACAAACCATTCCGAAGTATATGTCACTATTTCAATTCTCATTCCAGCACATTTGATCTAACAGATTCTCTCTTTACCATTAAAAAAAAATATTTTATCTACTCTTAATAACCTTCCTATAACCGCGCACATGTCTGTGAGACCGACCAAACAGTTTTTCGTAAATATTTTTTTTAGGCTGTTTTGGAAATACTGATAGTCATTAAAGTAACAAAGTAACAATACAATTTATATTAACAATTGATATTTTTTGTTTTATTACATTCTATATTTCCTATAAAATAAAAAAAAATATAAACGGTTTTATAGAAAAATAACCAGGTAAGAGGAGTCAAAGTCACGGTCTGTCACACCGTGCGCGKGTATAGGTGTTAAAACATTTGGCGCGGGTATAGGAAGGATAAGTAACATATAAAAATTATAAACTTTAATCTATTTCTTAATTTTGGCTGTTAAAATTTTTGTTTCTGTAGCTGAGCAGCTTAAGATCGCAACGCTTAAAACTCTCTTGCCTTTTATGACTCGGCTAATTTCGCTCGTTCGCGGATTGCGCCCCACGACTCGGTTGGGCGGGAAGAGGGTAATCGTTGGGTATTATTATTATTATTATAAAGTTTAAATACACCTAGTTCTATTAAATTACACAAGTTTGTTTGTTATAAACTGAATAAATTTTGTGGTTTTTTTCTATCCATTTCAAAAGTTGTATATTTAGCATATCAAAATATTCTTTTTACTCAAATCAAAAAATTAATGCTAAAGTTAAAATTGGCATAATTTGTATCAAAAAAGTTTACGTCCTCTAATGATTATTCATATAAGTCAAAAGTAATTACAATAGTTTTGGAGGTTTTTGTTTTCCATTTTGTTGATATTATTGTTCCTAGACATCAGAGTATGCTCCCCACTCAATTCCTAGTATTTTTTCCGGATATTTCGACCTACTAAATCCATGATCCAACTTTTTGCCCTTATTTTAATGAAATTCGATGTTTTTGAATACGGTTTTCCAAAAAGTTCCAAATATTTTGAATAGGTTTAATGTCTAGAAATTGCGGGACCTATAAAGCTTTTTTTAATTCCATAACAACCATTCGCGTACAATATAATACGTGTGTTTTGGGTCGTTATTCTGTTGTAAATAGAAGTTTCAGCTATTAACAGCCGATTTAAGCACACTTAAAATTTGAATTTTTTTTATTAAAATGTTCAGATACATATGCTTATTCATTTTTGAAATGTACCCAAAAAAAATAAACACCCAAACAGAAGGAAATATGTTGATCAGTGCTGGTTTTTATAGACGAATCGCACGTAGTAAGCCATACATAAATAAGGTTAATAAAAAGAAGAGGTCGACGTTTGCTAAAAAAAAGATTTAAACAAACAGTATTGGTTATGTGAAAATATTGTGTTCACCAACGATTCAAAAATTAATATATTTTGTTCGAATAGATCACGAAATGTGGAGAATGATCAATGAAAAGTCGTAAGGAGAAAATGTATTGCCAACGGTAAAGCGCTGTGGGGGTATTGTTATGGTTTGGGGGTATACAGTATCATCTGAGGTTGGACATTATTAAAAAATGAATAGGCATATGTATCTGAACGTTTTAAGAAAAAAATTTGAATTTTAAGTGTGCTTAAATCGGCTGTTAATAGCGGCTACTTCTATTTACAACACGATATCGATCCAAAACATATTACAAATAGCTTAGTGGTCCTGCAATCTCTAGACATTAAAACTATTCAAAATATCTGGAACTTTTTGGAATAAGGTTGTATTCGAAAACATAGAATTTCTTCAAAATCAGGCCAAAGCTGGATCATGGACTTAATAGGTCAAAATATCCGGAAAAAAATACTAGAAATTGAGTGGAATGCATACATTGATGTCTAGGAACAATAATATCAACAAAATGGAAGCCAAAACCTCTAAAACTATTGTAATTACTTTTGATTTATATAAATAATCATTAGTGAACGTAAACTTTTTTGATATAAATTATGCCCATTTTAAGCGTTAGCATTATAATAATTTTTTTTTTATTTGTGTAAAAAACGAATGAAACCATTTTTAATTAAAATGTTGTGGAGAATACATCTGACAAGAAAATAATAGCAGCATAATTTATGTTTTTTTTTGTTAGGCAGATGCATTCTTAGCTGCTTAAAATATTTCTTTCAAAAGTCCAAAACAATACTCTCTTTTGGTCTTTTGGGCGTTTTTATCCAACTGTGTTGCGTTGCTTCTGTAAGGGGTTATTAACGTTCCAGAGAAAGGGTATGCCAAGAGCCCAGCAATCCATTGCTGTGAAGAAAAATACTGCTCATTTTGCTTAAAGAGTGAGCTATTTCGATATATACGGGCATCATGCCAGCTCCCACGGTGACCAACCACAACAATTCGAATTACTCGTTGTAGTCAAACTATTTATGCGTTTATTGAATATATGTGATTTGTGGAGAAGTATGATATATGATCTTCAATTGGCGATTCAGCTAATTTAATCACGGTTCCATCAATATATCCAATACAAAACGGCAACTCATCAAAGGTATCATCGGGCCTTCTTATTATTATCGATATAGTTTTTTCTATATGCTGCGCTTTCTCCCGACGAACCAAATTGAAACAGTGTGATTACTAATTGTAATTCGGAAGAAAATTGTCAACATGAGTGCGCTTTGTTGAATTCCTCATCGTTTTTTATTAACACTAGATATACCAGCGATTGAAGTATACCTCTTTATACCAAACCAGTGAAAATGACTGTTCTTAAAAAGGAAGTGTAATGCGTCTTTATTTACTTTTAAATACATACAGTGTACATATGTATATACAGTAATGTAAACTTTATAAAATTAATTCTTTAGTTATAACTAGAAAAATCATGGTATCATTACAAAAAAAAAATAATAAAAATTACATGTAGTACAAAATTTAAATTGAAATACCGAAAACACTCATTTTGACCGTTGTGGTATATCTAGCGATAAATCAACCAGCATCTTATATTGGCCTCTATCTGCTCTTAAAATTTGGCGGAATCGGTCTTCGTCCAGTGTTGTCAAAATATTGCGCCAAATGTCTGACTTAGGTATTGTGCTGTAAACTCCTCGTCGACATTCCATAACAACAGATATATTGTCAGCCAATTCATCTATAACTGCATCCACTGTGTCATCATTACTTTCGATTTCTAGAAAAAATTGTAATTAACTGAAATTCCGCAAAAAATTATTTCTTACCTTCAATGTCCATAATTTCTTCAGCAGCTTCTTCAATTAAAGCCTCAGTTAATTTTACTCTAAAACTTTTTTTCGGGCTATTTTCCAATTTGTGCAAACATTTTGTTTACAACAATGTGTTTCTTCACCGATCAACTGTGAATAAATAGTATTTGCAAGGATTGCACAGAAATCACAAAAAATGCGTTCATCTTTGATGGTAAACAATTGCAATTGCATAATTTTGCAAACTCAGATGCACAAGACTCTGAATTGCCCTATCATTTATTTCAATATTCATATACATATACTCTCATTATATATTCACACGCTCCACAAGAAGTTACGACATAAAGTTTATGAATATAGGTAAATTTTATTAGATTCCGAACGACTAATCCGAAAAATATTCGAAAGACGGAATTCTTATTCATACCTTCTTCAATTTTTTTCCTATAAACAAACATCTCCTGCCGTAGATCCAAGTACATCCAGTAAAGTAGTCCTATTATTACTGCAATTGCAATGAACACTAGCAAAGGTTTGCAAATCATACATTCACGATTGTGACAACGGTTTGTGCAGATGCTATGATTATTTTTTGGCTAAAACTCAACACATTTTTAAAAACTTCTTGTTTTTGTGATTATAACCTACTCTGTTCATTTGTACCCAAGCATAATCTTCCGCATCATCAGTGGACGCAGATAGTAATTTTTCCTGTGAATTAATGTTTAAAGTAGTTCGTCGAATGGACCTTTTCTTTCCAAAGGAATGAGCAATGAGCGCGTCAAGTTCCCGCCGCTTTCGAATTTTTTTGCCTCCTGCTCGAAGTGGGACGCTGAACTGATGACTTGAGTCCATCTCAAAAGATCTGTATATTGTTTACTGTTTATAAATGAATTTGAATACTCGATGGCACTATTTGAAAACATTTCTATTGCTTAAGAACCAAATACAAACATTATTGTGTTTACATACAGTATACCACTAGTATTGATTGCTTTCATGTAGCCTATTCTTTTAGCAAATAATCTACTGCGCATGCCTCCAAAAGTTTTACATTTTTTGACATATGTTCAGTTACAATACAGGTGTTGTCACACAGCGCCAGTCGTTGTTTCTTTTTCCAATGTGGAACCAATTGGATATTCCAAGTGAAGCCAGGTTCCAAGCAAAGCCAGCTTCTAAGCCTAGGAGGGATGGTTCGACTTATCACTTTAGCTTACCTCCAAACGGATGTTATTTGGCTATCGAGAGGATACTTGGTCAAAGATAGGAAAACATGAGCTGATTAAGCCATATGTAAACGAATCGTTTCTGGCTACTGCCAAGTGAATGGCGGTCAGACAACTTTCCTCATTTGCGTGATCTTACACATGACTCCATCCTCCAATGAAAATTACAAAACGTAAAAACAAAATTAATGTGAGAAAAGTGTTTTTTGATAACAAATTTTTTAATAAAATATAGCGTGCCCCGAAGTAACACATTTTGTTAACGTTCATAATGTCAGAACTAACATCCACATATTTACAGAATAATAATGAATTAGAAAGAGTGTAAATATTCCGGTCTTTTTATATTCGTTTTGAAAGTTGAAAATATAGAAAAATAAACATTTCTAAATAATAAACATTTATTTTGTAACTGTATTATTAGCAATTCGATTCTTCCCATTTATCTTTTTGGAATTTTTGTTTCAATTTGGCCTATTTCAATTTTGGCCTATTTTTTTTTTCAATTGGCCTAACCTCTTCGTGGCAAAAGATAAAAGAAAACTGTTTCAAATCTTTATTTTTAAGAAAGCTAAAGAAATATATGTATGTATATTAGGGTGATTTTTTCGTAAACCCAACCGTTTAAAATATATTAACAGTTGAAATTTGATTATTTTTCGGAAAAATTTTTATTTCTTATGACTTTTATAACTCAGTGAAAAAAATCATTACGCATGATGAAACTCATAGTTTTGTAGGAAATTTACTGCTCTTTAAAAATGGTCTCATATGATTTTTCGATTAAGTTAAACGTTTATGAGATATTCGTCGTCAAACATCAATGCAATTTAGGGTGGATCAAGAAAAAAATTTTTTTTTCGTTTGATACTCTGAAAAATAGGTTCCTAGACACCTCTAAGAAAACCTCTCCAAAAAGCTATTATTATTTTGTTTTTTATTTGTACATATTGACGTTAACGTAATAGATATTTCTGTAATCTTATACATATATGAAAATGAATCGCAAAATGTGTTGCTAAGCGCATAACTCAAGAACGCCTAGATCAAGTTTTACAATTCCTTTTTTCAATGTTCGTTGAAGATCAAGGATGGTGAGAATAATTGAAATAATTGCCGGAAAACCCCTTAAAACAGCCATTTTCTTTTTCCCATACAAACGATATACATGTCGGCGCACCTTAATAGTGTGTGGATATTGGTATGCGTGTGTGAGTGCATGGGTATACAGTTTCGGGAATTTCGTTAGAAGACTATGTTCCTCATCATTGCATCAGCCGTTGATTGTGCTGTGTTTGGTTGTCTGCACGTTGTTAGCGACAGCGTGGCGTCACTATTATCCAGTGTGGTTGTCTGCATGTCGCCTCTTCAAAAAGTACCGTGGGGTCGTCGAGTGGGGTTCGTTGGTAAGCACAAAAAGGAAGAAAACGACGTAGAGTCAGTCGTGTTTAAGACTTGGTGTTGTGAAGTCGTGTTGAGGACTTAATATTGTAAAGTGTGAAGTATGAAACCGAAACTCGCTACGCTCTAACAATGTCTAACGAAGATATTGGTATTCCGACATCAGAAGTGGGATCTACCCGTCCGCCTCAAGCATTTGACGGACCACGACGTACTATGATGGAGTTACAGAAGGGCAAAGCAAATCTGTGCATCTGCTCAAATTCAATCCAGACAAAGCAGGCGCCAACGCTTCATCGTGGTGTACCACTGCTGAAATAATCTTAGAAGAAAATATATTGAGAGGCGGTGCGTTGGTTGTTACTTTGAGTTCAGCAATGGAGGGAAGAGCTTTGCAATTTCTTTCGCAAGTGTGCTACGCTGCTATTACTTGGCTTGAATTTAAAGAATTGTTTAAACAACGCTTCGACGCTAGAGAAACACCTGCCGCCATGTTTCTTAATATGATATCAAATCGACCAACTGATAGCGAAAGTCTGGCAATCCATGCAAGCTGCATGGTTACCGAACTAACAACGAAATGGCGTCAAATGGAACCTGAAGATATTGCTGTACCCTTTGCGTTGTTGGCAAGCTTCGATAGCCGATTGCAGCGATTAAGTTTCACATCAAATATTCGAACCAGAGGCGAATTACAGTCCGAATTAAAAGCGTTCACTTTCAATAAAAGGAAAAGTGGTGTTATGGAGCAAAAGTCCGAAATTTATTCTAAACGGCAAAAACAATCATCAATAGAGTGTAATTTTTGCGGAAAATTGGACCATAAAATGTTTGAATGCAGATTAAGAAAACAACAAAATCACTTTGCGACCGACAAAACACGACATGGCAAACACGAAGGTCACCGTGAAAAATCGAATATAACTTGCTACAATTGCGGAGAATTGGGTCACATATCTACTCAATGTACTTCCTTCGTTGATAGGAACAAGGAGTTCAATGGAGAAAAGAGAGTGGAACAGTGCAGCGTTGCAGAACCTAAAGGATACCTGAACCACGGAGACCAAATTTTTGAAATCACCTTTGATTCTGGATCGTTATGTTTGTTAATGAAAGAAAAGCTAAGTATAAAATTTTCTGGTAAAAGATTATAAGAAAACGATAATTGTATTGAAATTTTGTTTTATGTAATAGGCGGTGATGATATGCAAAATGGCATTGTCATTGGCCGTGAAATACTTAATCAGGGTTTTAATATTGTTATTTCATCAAACCAATTTAAAATTTCAAGAACCAAAGTTGTTAATTTATATACTGGCAGTGAGCCAGGCGATATTAATACTGAGCTTGAGGGACAAGACAAAATAAAACTACATTCATTGTTCGAAAGGGACTCAAATTCATTTATAACTGGTATCCCATGTACTAAAGTCATAATTGGTGAAATGAAAATTAGATTAATTGATCCAACAAAAACTGTACAAAGAAGGCCATATCGTTTAAGTCCGTGTGAGCGAGATTTAGTTCAAGAAAAAATTAATGAGTTACTAAAATGCAATATAATTAGACCAAGCTATTCACCTTATGCAAGCCCTATATTATTGGTTAAGAAAAAAAATGGTTCAGACAGACTTTGTCTATATGGACGATATCATGATAGTTGCCTCAACAAAATGTGAGGCGTTAGAAAGACTACAAATTGTTCTAAATGTTTTAACAGAGGCTGGGTTTTCATTCAACCTTACAAAGTGTTCTTTTCTGAAAACATCGGTTCAATATTTGGGTTACAATGTAAGTGCTGGTGAGATTCGTCCAAACCCACAGAAAATTGTAGCGTTGACTGCTCTTTCGCCTCCACAGTCAATCACGTCACTCACTCACATCTTATTTCCGAGAGTTTATTAAGGGATTTTCGCAATTAATGAAAACGTTACACTTCTTAACTGCAGATAAAAATAAATTTATTTGGACAACAGAACATTGGCAGATACGGAAAAAGGTCATTGCCATTCTTACAGAAAAACCAGTTCTTGTTATCTTTGACCCAATTTATCCAATTGAGTTGCATACAGACGCAAGTTGTACAGGCTACGGTGCAATTTTATTACATAGAATTAATAACAAACCTCAAGTAATAGAATACTATAGCAAAACTACTTCACCCGCAGAATCAAGATATCACTCATATGAATTAGAAACCTTAGCTGTTGTAAACTCCATTAAACATTTTCGACATTACTTGTTGGGCAGGAATTCAGTCAGTATTGTTTATTCTGACTGCAACTCACTAAAAGCGTCAAAAAGTAAACAAGATTTAACATTCACATTCGATATTCAGTAAGAGGAGGGAAAAGAATGGCACATGTTGGCTTTTTGTCGAGAAATACTCCTTTAACAAAGTCTACTTCGGCCACAAAATTAGTCGATGAGAAAAGAATAAATTTAGCTGAAATTGCAAGCAACTGCCTTATTGCCGAACAGCGACGAGATTCGGACATAGTCGAAAATGTAAAAAAATTAAAAGAGTTTTCTCTGCCTGCAGATATTGCGAAAACCTATGAACTGAGGGTGGGAGTTCTTCATCGGAAAATACAGAGAAATGGCAGAACACGTTGTTTACCAGTGGTACCACGAGCTTTCAGATGGTCTGTTATAAACCAAGTTCATGAGTCAATAATGCATTTAGGTTTTGATAAGACATTGGATAAAACTTACGACTTTTACTGGTTGGACAATAAGTCAAAATATGTTAAAAAATTTGTTGACAACTGCATCACTTGCAAAATGTCAAAATCCACCTCAGGGCAAATACAGCCTGAATTGCATCTAATACCAAAAGTCACTACTCCTTGGCACACAATCCACATCGATATAACAGGAAAATTAAGTGGCAAGAGTGATCAGAAGGAGTATGTTATTGTTCAGGTAGACGCGTTTACCAAATGCGTCTATCTTAGTCATAGCCTTAAATTAGACAGTGAGAGTTGCATAAAAGCCGCTGTTTCATTGCTTGGAGTACCAAACCGAATAATAGCTGACCAGGGAAGGTGTTTTACAGGCGCAAAGTTCAGTCAATTCTGTTCAGATCAGCAAATAAACTTGCATTTGATAGCCACTGGTGCAAGTCGAGGTAATGGTCAAGTGGAGCGAACCATGAGCACGTTAAAAAATATGCTATTGGCGATTGAAACTGGAACTCAGTCTTGGCAGGATGTGTTAGGAGAGGTGCAGTTGGCAATCAATTGTACAACCAACCGCATTACGAAAGCAAGTCCTTTGGAAATGTTGTTGGAAAAAGTAGCACGCCCATTAGGATTACTTCCACCTAGTGACATAGAAAATT